CGATCACACAGGCTCGGCCTTCTCTGGGTTCCATCTGCCAGCCAATGTCGGCTGGGGACCCCCCTGGGGGAGAGCCCTCGCTGTTGCTGCTCCGGCCCTCTGAAACGAGCTCCCTGTGGAGATCCGGACCCTTACTACCCTCCCGGCGTTCCGTAAAGGTACTAAGTCCTGGCTGTTCTGGCAGGCTGAGGGCTGTTAAAGTATCCAGCCCCGCTTCAATTGTGATTGTTGTGTATTTTAATATTGTTCGTATTGTCTTATTTATCCCCTCCCCTGTTTTATTGTGAGCCGCCCGGAGTCCTTCGGGAGTGGGCGGCATACAAAACCAATAAACGAAACGAAACGAAAGAATTTTGTTTTAGTCCCTTTTTCTTTCCTTATCAACATGTATAAAACACATATATCCATATTCATTCATACACATACCCCCCCCCCCAGTAATAACACAATGTAGATTAATATAAAGTTTTTTAGCCTAGGACGTACATCATTATTGGAAAATAAATATCTCGATATATGTTTTTTCCTTAATTTCTAAATTTCATTTCAAATGTTCTACTTAATTTTGAAAAAGTCAAATAATCATAATATGTGTAATATTAATATTCACAACTATAATATTGGTAGAAAATCTACTTTCTCTTATCTGTATACATTATTTTAAGACATATAACTTAACATTAAGAATCTAAGTATATTATATAAATATAACTGTTGAAACAACATATTTCATTTAATTTGAATCATGTACATCCATTTATTCTTTATTACTTTTGTCAGCCAATCTTCAACTCCATATTAATCAAGGCATTCCATTATTCAATTCAATCCAAGTTTATTATATCTTTTTTTAACTCAACAATTGTAAAATAATTTCATTCTCGCGTTCATGCAATTTCAGTAACCTGTTGAAGAGCAAAAACCTAGTCTGAATCCTCTGCCCAGCATAAAACTGCATTGACCTTTCCAAATTTTGTCCATTCTAGTGCTTGTATTCTTTCAACCAAAATTCTATCAGACACTTTCCCAGCTACATTTAATAGATTTCTCTGTAGTTTTTGCATTTTTTCTAGTACAAGGGAATACAGCATGGACACACCATAAGTACACTTGATCTTAGCCAAAAGGCTGAGGACCAATGACATGCCATAAATAAATCACATCCATATTTTAACTTTTTCCCAATTACATCACCTGTACCTGCAGTCTTACCATTAAGTATGGTGGATATTCTCTCACTGTATTTAACAATGCTGGTTGAAAGGGAGAGAGATTTGATTGGCTCATTAAATTGAATTTTATGAGATTTACTGCCCTCCATTTAAACTGACTAATTAACTTTCATATCTAAATTGCTGGGAATGTTTTCTCCCCCTTCATTACATGCATGAATTCCAGAATGTCCAACTAGAATTATGTATAAATCATATGTATGTATCTACATTTCAGCTAGATGCAGGCTGAATCTCAGTTCTCCATAATCTAGGTACACTGTTTCATAAAATTTAACTTTCATGAATGGATTTTTAAATGTATTCTTTGTAATCATTCTACTACTATTGTTACACAAACAGTTCAGTTGTTCACAATGCTCAAACCATAAATTGTTCTATAAAATTATGAAACTCTTTCATAAAACAATGACAAATAATCTGTGTTTGATAGAATATATAAATATATACAAATCAATTCACAGCTGCACATTTTAATAGAGAAAAGATTAATCAAAGCTTTATTTATAAGCTTGCCTAGTGTTGTTTAGTATTCCAGTTCAACAAAGATCAATAGAGGCCATTCCCGTCTCTTGACGCCTCTCCAGGAAACAGAGGTGCGATTATGTAAATAGCACTAGTTCCTCTATACTTCTGCCAGCTTGCTTATCTCCAAAGCCTTCTGCCTGCTGCCATTGGCGACCAATACAGTATGTGCATCTATCCCATATCTCTTAACAAAGCTCGGGAAGTACGGCTAGTCATGTTAAACCGTGATGCATGTCTGGTTTTATTTGTAAAGTGATTCATTTCAATACCTTTAATCTCTGTTGTATTTAGTTCATATATAAAAAATAGCTGATCAGTTAGAATAAGAAAGAAAACAGATGCATCCAGGCATTCACTGGTGCTAGGGATAATCCATTGACTTAACAATGCAACACAGCATTGCAATATAATTAGGAAATGTCAGTGTCAGAAGATGGACATTGGCTATACGGAATAAAGGAATGTTCTTCTAGAACGGCACCTGGTTGGCTTGCTATTCTTTGCAAAACAGCAGTAAATCATAAATTCAAAATAAAACAATTATGTTTTAAACACTACACAATAATTAAATAAATTTATCTCATAATAAAAACAGGGTTGCAATAAATCAAACATCTAAGCACTGATATTGCCTGACAAAACATTGTATTTATCTTGCACTCTCCTAGCCTAATCTCCATTTAACATTACTAGCAATGGCTCCTACTGTGAAGGAGTGCTTTTTTTATAAGAATGCACTGATTCTCAAATAGCTTTTGCACAACGTATTCTCAGCTCAGCAAGAAGTCTACACTCTTGAATGAACCAGAACACATTAGTGAGAGAAAGTTCATTAACCTTGCTAGATTCAGAGGGTTAACATGGTACTGAAAAAAGGAATTGAGTGAAAAGCTCTGTTGCAAAACAAATTAAAACGAATGTCATCATTCCTTTTGATATTCATTAGCTAATTCACAGGGAAAGTGGGTTTTTTTTAAAAAAAATGCAGCTATTTATCAGTGAAAAACAGGTGTACACCTGCTGTTTAAGTTGTTCTTAGTAATGATAATGATAATAATAGTAATAATAGTAACTGCAGTACTAATAAATACAATATAGAGACTTACCGCATCCACTATGGGAGTAACTGGGAGAAGGGGAGAAAACCTGGGCAGCAAAATCTTCAAATGACAGTAATTCTTTATGATTCCGGATTATTTCATCAAGATATATTGCTCTTTCCTCATAACTGTTGGAAATAGGCTAAGGAAATACATTCTGTTACCAAGCCTTAGCTATTCAACTTTGTATTTAATAAATAACATACAGAAAGAAAAGTGTACCACAGATGCTATGGTATATTTCCAAAGCCACAGAATTCTAAGTGTTGCAGTAATTAACATTTAGATTTTTTTCACATAAATGTAATAGTTTCAGTATTAAGCAAATTATAGTATTACAAACACTGGTTTTCAAATTAAATATAATGGGTCTTTATCAGTGATAAATTGATAAATTAAAATTATATAATAATGAGGAAAAGTGTTATAGTAGATACATACATGTAGACATACTCTACCTTAATATGAATATAGACATGAACATACATTTGGGATACGACGCGAAAAGAATTAGAAATGTTAATTATTTAAATTAAGAATATATATAGCTATCAATTATATTCTTAAAACATGCTAATGTTTCATACCTGAGATTTTCCAGAAAATTGGCTAGTCAATCTTTAAAATAGTTAGTCAAAATTTTAAAATAGAACATGTGTACACTTTAGTCTTAAGCATCAAAATTAAAGATGTTGCCTTTAATTAAAAATCAGCAACCTGGAACACACCCCATATAAATGCATAATCAAAAGCCAGTCACCAATAAAGCTTACAAGCATAACAAGCAGAAGCAACTTTCCAGCTGTCTTAACAGGACCCCTGCTTGTGATATCTTTTCATAGGGAAGACAGCAAATCTCTCTCTTTGTGTGCAGTTTCTAATTTCTTTGATGATGAGTATAGTATTTTGTACATATCTGGTGCAGAGAAATTTATCTTATATTGGACTTTATGACTTCAGTGGTCAGTCATTATGTGGTCAACCGATAATCATATATATATTGCTATTCAGATTGAAAATATGTCTTCAGTTGTACCCATTTTTTTTTTAAATGAGAAAATTGCTTACTTTTGTAAGACTCCTTCAGGGGTTGGAACAAATAATAAGCCTTTTACTACACTCTTATCTGTGTATTTGTTACTCCTTAATATTTTACAAATGTGTTACTTACATAGCACATTTCACTTTAAAAATACAACAGAAGCAACTTGTAAGCCCTTTCTAAAAGGAGGAATAACTTCTTTCTTGGTCATCATTGTTGAACTCAACTGATTATCACATAAAACAAAACAAGGTCAACATGGTTTTTAAAGGTTTTTTCCATCTCTCTGTGTCATTATTGTGCAGTGATAGAAACTAACTTCACACTGCATACCTTATTTTTATCCCATTCCTCTGGTTTATCTATATGCCATTCCTAGGTATAGTTAGATACGCATTTCTGTTATACGCTGAATTGCTGATGACTCGATGCCAAGCTTCCTAGGAGAGAGCGCCATACGCCTAGAACCTATTCTAAAGGGACTGACGGATGCCATTCACTTCTCATTATGAACATGCTTATTCTGCCTGGTGCTTGGCTGTTGCTAGGGATCTCAATTCCACCCTGACACAGCAAGTGCTGGTCCTGAACAGCAGGATGTTAGGCCTGAGTGGCCGTCTGGTGCACAGACTTTCTGACACTAAGCTGGCACGTGCTGGCGCAGCAGGGGAAAGCCAAGGCGTGACAAATTGCTGAAAGAGCTAAGCTAAACTTATGGTTGAAAACCACCTGAGCCTGTGGACCTCTGTGGGCTTGCCATCTCTTCTCAATCCCTTTCCCCTTCACCCTCTAGGTCCATGGTCTCTATGCGGCCTCACTTTTGTGGAAGCAGTTAAAATGAACATTTGCTTCCATGCTATGTCTATAAACATAATAAACGGAAGAGAAGACATAACAATTTGGAAGGAAGGCGGGGATGCTTGCATATCAGAAAGTCTGATTAGCCAATTATTTTAAACAATGAAATCAATAATAGAGGACTCGATGCCAAGCTTCCTAGGAGAGGAAGGAATCAGAGGAGGATAAATATTCACCCAATAATAACTGCCAATGATTAGCGACAACATCTGGAAATTATTAATAGATTTGCAAAATAATATCCCCTCCCCTGCCCTGGACATACACCGGGATAGGCAAAGATGCCCTTCAGTGGAGTTAATGTCATAAACCGCCAAGCTCTATTCCAAGTAGTTTTCTTGGTAACTATGTGGAAGTGTTATTGCTACTGCCCGCTGATTTACATTTACATTTCTCAGTCTAGCATACAACGATTGTATTTCTTAGTTAACTTTCATCAAACTAAATTCTGCTCTGCTTAGGCAGTTTCAAAATCTACAAAGATCAGCTAAGTATTTCCAGTGGTAAATTATCTGAATAATAATAAACATAATATATTTTAAAAGTTTCCTTAAGTGTAATATAGGGGAATTTTCTAATTAGACGGTAATTAGAGAATAGGTTTAAATCAGTATTCCCTGCATATTGAAAAGGTAAGAATGTAAAAAATATAGCTACATTTACTAGCAATGAAGCCAACAAAATTTAAAATCCCTGTTCATTTTTTATCCTAATTTTAGATAATTTATAGTATTCTTAGGTTATTCTAGATCAGTGTTTCTCAACCTTGGCGACTTTAAGTCCTGTGGACTTCAACTCCCAGAATCCCCCAGCCAGCACAGCTGGCTGGGGAATTCTGAGAGTTGAAGTCCAAAGGACTTAAAGTCACCAAGGTTGAGAAACACTGTTCTATATCCAGAGAGCAATCAATTATAGAAGGCTGGCCTAAATTGATTAGCAGCAACATAGGCAGTGGTGGGTTGAGAATGCAGATTTTTACCTGATAGAACCAAGTTGATTGGCAGTTGCAGTTTAAGAGCTTTGGCGTTTAGTGCATAGTTTTATCACTGAACACAAAGATAAAATGTACTATCTGTAATATGGTAGCAGCAAAGTTTTGTTCCACCATTCATACCTGACACCTGT